GCAGCGTCGGCAACCTAAATAGACATTCTCTTTTTTACTTCCAGCATTTGCTGCTGCTATATGCTTGCTTTCACCTCTGTTAGATAGGAGAATTGCGCGTTTTGAGTGCAGCTGCACCCCACTCTTGCGAAGTATAGAATGGTGTTAGTGGCTTTCATTTGGTTTCCCTGCAAAGATTCATACATCTTTAGAATGCTTATCTGCAGATCACAGAATAACAAAACTGTGAGCATTCGCTTCTAGAGATACCTCCGAACCTACCTAAAACTTGACAATCATGACCAGATTTTTCCATACACTTCCCTTTGCTGAAACTAAGTGCTCGATGTCGTTTTTTCGGTGTGGCCTGTACCATTACTTAGTTCTTCACAAGTAATAATAATTATTTACTGGAGGGATGAGGGACTCACTTGTCGCTGAGTAAACTGTTTTCAGTTTTGTTGGGTCAGATATTCGGTTCGGTAAATATCAAGCCTCTTCGTTCACAGAACATTTCCGTTAATAAAAAGCATTGAAGAGAAGCCAAAAAGACATCTCAGCTGATGTTCGGTAAATAGTGACGCTATCTTAGTCATCGTGAGATAGGAACAGGTTTCGTTGGGCAATCTGTTAACATTTAAACGACGCAGTGTCAGTTACACCGTGATCCTTTCTTCCTATGAAACCGCAAGACTTCTAATCGTTTTTTGGCACCTCCACTTCTCACTTAGAAATTCATGATAATTAATATCAGATCTGGCAATGAACTCTGAATTTAGTTCGTCCCAACATGCGATTACTTATCTTATATTGCTTCGTTGCTGTCATAGAAGCGGGATTTTTCGATTTTCTTACCGGTGGAAACCATGAACAAAGCCATGAACAAGTGAGTTTGTTGACCTACTGATCTTCTATTAGCAATCCAGGACTCCTCATCGTAACCATTTGTTAAACACATCCTGACTTAGCATTGATCAATTTGGCTACGTTTGGCTATGTGCCATTCATTTCTACCAAGAAAACAGCATTTAAATCTTTTGTGCGCTATAGAGGTCTTATACCAAGAGTCTGACGTAATATGAGGAAAGTGTTTCATTTTTTTGTTATCATTTGCTTTTGAGCAAATGCCGGCCAGAAAAAAACCAAGAAATTTTAGGAAGGGACTGAAATAGCAAGACAAGATGGATTTCACTTACACACATTTTTAAGGTTCACGAAATGAGCCCAGATCCCGGCGAGCTTGGTGGAACACGCAAAAATCCAAACCTAGGAGATGAAATCCACATCCCCCGCGGAGGTTCTGAAAATCCAAATGCTGGAGCTGAGATTCATATTCCCAGCAATCGTGTCCCGGTAAATAAAGATAATTGATTTTTCGTACTATGGGATGGGATTATTGATGATATTTTCTAGGTACATTCATTTTACCATTATTTGTTTTTTCTGCCAAATTCTTTTTGTTGATATCATGCATGTCTGTGATCATCATTGTTATTAGTTCAATTGTCACAATATTTATGTCATATTTTTACTTAATACATCATAGCAGTGCAGAATTATCAAAACAAGCGTAAACCATTATAAAGGCTTTCTACGAACTTTTGAATTTGAAAAAAATCTCTTGGAAATGAATTTTAGGGGCCTATAAACGCTTGTCCT